GGAAAATATCGTAGCAGATGCCCTATCCAGAATAAAAATAGATGAAGAAGGTAATACTGTAAAGGTGGCAATGCTCACAGCATGTACAATACATTCCCGAGAAACTGTAATAACCGAACTGGGTAAGGATCCTGAATTTAAAAAGCATTTATGAGTATTTAAAGGATCCTGAAAATTTTAGCCACCAAGATATTGTGGCGATAAGAAATAGGGCGGCCCATTACGAACTAATAGATGGTCTATTATTTTATACAAAAACTACGAATTCCAACAACGAATTTCGACCTGTTATCCCAGCTAGTCTTAGATTAAATATCCTGCAGGAGTTCCATGACAGCCCTTTAGCTTCTCATGCTGGTATTCGAAAAAAAACCTATCCAACGCGTACGCGAAGCAGTTATTTTCCTGAACTGCAAAAGTTAACAAGGGCGTATGTCCAGTCCTGCCCAACATGTCAAGCAGTTAATTATATTAATTTCCGCCCGGCCGGGTTTCTAAATAGTATTAAATCCGAATTTCCAAATGAAATAATTGGCATCGATTTATTGGGCCCTTTCCCAAAAAGTCAGTTAAATAAAAGTCGCTATCTCCTTGTTATGGTTGATCATTTTAGTAAGTGGACCGAAATTGTTCCCTTAAAACGAGCCTCCGCGAAATTAGTTACTGATTCTATTTTAAATAAATATATTTTAAAATACGGGGCGCCCCTAAAAGTTATATCGGATAATGGTCCTCAATTTGTAAGTAATATATTTGAAGACATGTGCCAAAAACTGGGCATACGTCATTTAAAAATGGTCCCGTATCGGCCGCAATCAAATATAGCGGAACGGGTCAATAGAAATATAGTGAAAATTATCCGTAGTTATGTTAAAAATTTTCATAAAAGCTGGGATAACTATGTCAATGAATTTAGCTTTCGCCCTTAGGACCGCAAAACATGATACGACGGGCAAAACTCCTGCTGAGTTATTTTTAGGCAGAAAGATTATAACGCCGTTAGATAAATTATTTTATGTTCAACAAAGAGCCCCAGAATTTAGAGCCCCAGAATTTAAAATGGGTGATATAGAAAAATTAATTAAAGAAGCAAAAAAGAACACTGAAGTAGCACAGAGAAAACAAAAGCTGTATTATGATATGAAACGACGGGGAGTAACTTATAAAGTAGGGGATGAAGTGTTAAAAATTAAGCATTCACTTTCTTCAGCACCAGAAGATAAAACTGCCAAAATTTTTCCACGATTTGAAGGACCATATGTCATAGAAAAATAACTCAGGCTGTAGTGGTGTTAAAAGCCAAGAATGGTGAAACCTGCTCCGCAAAATATTGACCAGATAAAACCATTACTATGATCGTAATAAAATGCCAAATTTCAAGATCTTTTGCAGGATCCGGCACGGCAGACACCGCAGGCACAAGCTCCAGAGGTGGAACAACGACAAGTACAAGGGCAAGCCATTAAGAGGCAGGAGCAATTGAAAAGAAAGTTCCCCGTTGGAAAATTGAAGGTAACAAGAAAAAGAAGCCGTTCCACCGTCCAGAAAAGAGAGCTCACGACCACCCCCAGAATGAATGAAGAAGGGAGAAGGACGACGTAATGCAAAGAGAGCCAGGAGAAATGACGGCAACTATAACCCGGCTCCTAAAACGGAAGATCTACCTCATCCGACAGGACTCTACGCAGCAAATGTCGCCGAACTGCGGAAGGGCCACCAGCGGCGGAGGAAAAATTACAAGGAAAATTTGAACGGCCAGCAACGAGGTCCAGAAGAAGGAACACGAAAGAAGTTGTCCCGGTTCCGCCAAGACCAGCTGCCATCAAACGGCCAAGACCACAGGCAGAGGCTAAAAAGAAGGTATTCAAGGGTGACCGAACTGGAAAAAAAGAAAGCTTCTAGAGGAGGAAGGCCCTGAAGGGCGAGCCCGCACAAGAAGGAGGATAAATCAAACAACAATCTCGCTACCTTCCAGGACTGGGCTCAGAAAAGAATGTCCGAATATCACAAAGATAAGTAAAATTTTATGTTACTTTTGAAACTTAAGTTAATCTTTCATTCTTACTGCAAGTGGCAGATTTCAAGAAGTTTTACCTCATGCGAGGTCTACCTTTATCGCCAAAAGGCGAGAATGAGTTGTTACCGATTTTGGTATTATGTTTTTCAATTACTCGCGTGTAAAACTAAAGTTGATGTATAATAGCGATGTGTAAAGACTTAAATATTGTAAAAGTTATTGTATAAATTTTATTTAAAACATTCTGGCAAGAAAGAAGTTTTAGTCTGAAAGACTTTTTGAAATGTATATTTCAATGTAGAAGAATTGGCACTTGCTTGAAAAGAATAGAAGTTAACAATGTACTACTAATGTATGTTTTCAAATGCGTAAAATTAACGGCATGTTAATATGTTCTTATATACAATGTGAACTGTTATTTTAAATGTTAAGAAATACCGTGATATGGTAAAAGTGAAAGTAATGTTAAAATTTTTTTTTATTCGTGTGACTGTAAAAAGACTAAATTATGATGAATATGTGTTAAAGGTTGAATGAATGTAGTTAGGCTCTCTGACGCTACACTTCAGAGTTAGCCACTTTCAGAATAGTACCTCAGGGTTTAGAGTTGAATTAAGGTGTGTTACGAGGTCTTGGTATGTTGAATTTTTAACACGTTAGTGTTTTGATTGTAGGAGGAAGTGTTGAACACGTAGACATAAACACATTCGTGTTTGGTGTTCTTTTACAACACATGTCAGAGAGCACGGGGAGAGATAATTAAAATAGTCATGAATGAAATAAGAATGTTAAGAGAAATATAATTATACATGTTACTTGCCATTTCATTGTGTAACATTTCATTAAACTAGTTTTCCTTCCAGATCTCTGGAAGGAACCAGATTTGAATAAAAGCTCCTGTTTAGATGCAGTACAGATGAAAAAAGATTGTTGTATATCCTGGGAGCTGCTATTGTAAAAACAAATTTCTTTCTTTTAAATTTCTAGTTTCTAGCGAAAAATGTTTGTAAAAGATTGGCCTCGCGTTAGATTCTAGAGCTAAAAGTTTTCAACAAGGTCGTTTTAGACCTCAGTTTCAAACTAATTAACTCTGGCGGGAAGTATGTAAGGATCTTAAGTTTTACTAACGTTTATTTTATTTTAAATCTTTACTATCACTTCTTATTTTCTACTTCCGGCCAGAATTATAAGCGTTAACGTATTATGCAACGTATTTATGCAAAGTTTGTCTGGCGAACGCCAAGTACTTAAGTTGTGGCTTTTTGCCAAGCGAAGGAGAGGAAGCAGTTAGTCGAAGCAGGCCGCTTACCTTAGAAGTTTTACTCAGTTGCTGGTTGCCTTCCAGGCCAGAGGTTTAATCCTCTTGATAATTTTTAAACGTATTGTAGTGTTCACAGTTCTCTGTACTACATACGGCTTTTGCTGTAATATAAGGCCAATCTTCCACGTTTATTATTTAAAGTTAAATTAGAGTTTAGTTTAATTTTATATTATTTACGTTTTAGACCACAAGTAGTTGGGTTTTTGTATTCCGAAGTACGGAAGTTATTGTAAATAGAGAAAAATAAAGGGTTTTGTATACCCTTCTTGTGTATCCTGTCTACTTCCCACAGTTATTGAACATAGCTTTAGTAAGCTCTCTGTTCCGAGTCAGGTCCTTGCATGTTCCCGAAGAAAGTAAGACGGAACATTGAACCTGATACACTATTTTTAAAAATTGCTGAGATAATTATTGTCACATATGTTTTAATGCTAATTATATTCTATATAACGTATTTTAAGGTATTTGAATTTAATAATATTATAATTCTTTTAAATGTTGGATGATGGTTTTTAATTCGATATTCAATTTCGGTAATATTTTAATCTAATTAAAACGTTGGCACAATGTTTTTATAGCGGTGTTTTATTCTCTTCTTTGCTATATGAAAGTAATAACCAAACCAAACCGAAAGTAATAATAACCTTACTTTAGTATTTTATACTCCTAGTAAATGTATTTATTTACATTTGCCTGCCATCTTAAAAAACGGCATTTTCAACAAAAAATTAATCCATTACTTCTAACGATATTTATTTATTTTTTTTTTAAGTTTCGAATACTTTACTATGCGTGAAAACAGCGTTTTTCAAGATGGCTGACGTTTGTAAAAATCGCGCCAACAATTGCGCCAACGTAAATCGCCAAAAATCCGTGCAACCGTCTCCCCCCCCCCCAAAAAAAAACACGCTTTTACTTCGTGAAAACAAAATGGCGTCCAAAAAAAAAAAAAAAAAACTAGCAAGTTGCTGTAGCAGGGTTGGTCGCCAAAAAATCGCTAAGTTACCATAAGCCGAAGATTAACAAAAATGTACTTATTTTTTTAGATTTTACACAACAGTTTGCCTATCTTTTTAGAATAACTTGATTGTCCTTTAAAAAAATAATCACTTTTTGCAAACAGGCACTTTAAGGCTCCTCTGATTTTTTTAAATTACTTTATGTGAAGATCACAATTAAAAATATTTATTCCATAATTTCTTAGTGAGATTTTATAGATGCAATACAATGTGTGAATTATCAACATAAATAAAATTATTAACGAAATTCTTACTAGTTTAGCTCACACAGAGTTCTTTCACTGAGAAATGTCTGAGTATTTTGTAAACAGGATCATGCCAAAATAACAGAGCAGAAATTTCCCCCTCTTACAACATTTATATTTTTCATAAGCGGTAATGGACTCGAAAATTGATAATAATAAAAATAATTGAAAAGGTAAGATTATATTAAGAAACACTTATATGCAAATGACCAGCTCATTTTAATTTTTAAACAAATCAACTCAGCTTTCAAACATACAGGTTAACTTTTAAGCTCATAACAAGAGCAGATCCAAATACTGTTTATTATTATTATTATTATTATTATTATTGAGTTCATATCTTAATGGCATGAATAAAATAATGAAAAGATTTAATTATTTAATCAAGACACCAAACATAATGTTTTTAAGCATTTATTAAAATACAATAAACTTGATCAACAAGTATTTTATACCAACATTTCATTTCAAACAAAAGCAATGTTTTCAATAAATATACATAAATATTTATAATCATCATTTGACATATACTTTATGTACAATATATAAGTAGATACACTTTTAGCCCTTGTTTCTATCAACTGAGCATCTCTCATAGACAAAAGTACGTATGATGAGGGCATTGACCCTACATTATCTGCAGTGTGAATGAATTTATCACAGCTCTGATGGAAATGATTTTCCACAAAGATTGAAATAGTTTATACATTTTTCAAAAAAATTAAGCACTTTTCTTCCATATTCTTGAATTGTTAATAGCTTATAAAATGCAATTCATCACTTTACAATTCATTACTCAGCAATCTTCTTTTTTTTCCTCATAGATTTGGCTATGGAATTTTGGGTATTTAATTTTCCTTAGGTATTTTCTGACTCAAGAAATTTCAAGCAGCTCAAATTTGCATTCCCAAAATGAGCTTTTTAAAAGCTTTTGAAATTACTTTATTTCTTCACTCATTATATTTTACTTGGGGCAAGAGATAAAATACTCAACTGAATATTTATTATGAGTGGAAATATTAAACTATATCATTTAAATATAGTATTAAATTATTTATGTATAAGACGTTTCAAATAATTTTATACAAACTACTTCACTTTGCTTTTAATGATGGATAAATAAAATAAGCTTATGCCTTTCTCTTACAGAAATGCTATTCTCACTTTAAAAATTTTTTCTTGGGTTAGAATATTTAGTATTTTTTCATTAGTGACAATCCCTCAAAAAGGCTTTGTTGCCAGTACCAAAAAGTCAACCAGTATTATTGCCACACAAAAGAAAAACCCCTGGTATTGTTCTGAAGATTTCCTATTTAATCAACTGCTAAATTATTTGGCTTTTCTGCTCAACAATGTAGGAACTATGAATGAATAAATATATGCTTGAATACAAGCATTAATATTTTTAAAGTATTAATTTATAAGGATTTAACTAATTTGAAGTGATGAAATATATGCAGTTTGAACATTTAAATGTAAAAGAACAATGTAGATATGTATATTTGAATATGAAAAAAAGATAAATTTAATTAATAAATTCAAAAGTTGTATGGTAAATATTGTTAGATCAAGGTGGAAACAAATATGTTTATTTTATGTTTTTCTATGCAAGCATATAATTAATAGGCATATTTTACACCATTTTAAAAAAAGTACAATGGTTACCAGATAAACTGTTTGGCAAAACACTTTGGTACCTTTCTGAAGGAATGATACTAACAGAGTATGATTTGATACAGATTATGACAAATTTTCTGAATTAACAAACTTCAAATATCTCAAATTCGTACTTCTAAAATTAATGGTACTAAAAAAATATGACACATTCTTTTGACATTTATGCATACGAGATATCTTTGATGGAAACTATTAAAGGTTAATGACATCTATTAAATTAATAGGTATGAATTAATATAAATGTCCATTTATTAATTTAATATAATTTATTATCCTGTGTTTGTTGTTTTTCCTTGAAAACACTGAAACAATGCAACTTAATATTCTGTTACAATGTTATGTTCATGAATCTTACTAAATATTTTACAAAACTTATGGATAAATATCATTATAAATTAATAAGTATGTATACCTTCTATTTCTGACTATCATAAATTTACATACTAGTTTCACACATTAACATTTCAAAGTATCTTCTCTTTGTAGAATACAAATACATCTAACATGCGAAAGTTCACTTTCACTATTTGAAAACTGTACATCAATATATAGATTTATATTTGTATATAAAACATAGCCACACACAAAAACAAGTTGAGACTAGATTGAAAAATGTAGCATGCACCTTATTACACCCCAATTATGAGGCATTTCTTTAGACAAGAGCAAAAGAATTATGTTTGACAAATTACCACAGAAGTACTTGTTTCCAAAATATTTATGCCAGCATCCCTATTTGGTAAATTTTACTTAAAAATTAAAAAAAAAAAAAAAAAAAAAACAAATTAAAAAACAAATTATAAGATGATACAGTGTTCTCCATTAAATCCTTCTGAATTAAAAAAATGTAGCATAGTATAATCACAGCAAGTGACTTAAGCATACAGTTAAATAGTAATAAAACAAGTACTGTTAATTAATCTAGTGACTGAATATTTCACATATGTCTTAAATAGAGAGAATACAGTAGAAGATTTAATTATTAATTTATAATGTTCAAAGCGAATCATGAAACAAATCTGATTTAAAAAAAAAAATGTTTTTTACAAGTTTACAAGAAATTTAAAACTTCATAAAGGAATTTTCTTCACACCATTCAACATGAAAGAATATCAAATAATGTTGAACTTTGTTACAAATATTTTCTTTGAAGTGTAATTTGCTCACATTTAGTTTCATAATATTCACTGGCAGTGAAGGCATAAGGAAATAAAGAAAATATTTCTTTTCCATTCAGATGAACCTGCCCAATGCAGCATGAAATTCTTGCAAGCAGTTCATTAAATGACTAACCGATGGTCTATCTTCAGGCACTGTTGACCAGCAACAAGCCATTACTTCAAACCTGAAATCAAAAGTTTCATAAATTTGAAACTAACCATAAACATATAATAAAAAAATTATAATACATCATATTCTTATATTTAACCCGCAAAAGGAAGAAAAAATTTGTCACAGCTTTATGTTAAAACAACTATTATTTTATATACGAGTTTCTGTAGTAGTTTTCTCCTTGATGTAAATTTATATTATCTAAAACTTATTACAGTACAAAGTCTGTAATCCGGACGTCCATAACCCGGACCTCAAATCTACAAACTTTATGTACGCATTATGCATTTACGCATTCGCATATGCGTTTACGCATGCGCATAACGCATTTACGCATGCACATAATGCATTTACGCATGCGCGTTTAATGTATAACGGACGGCATAAGCTAGGCTAAAATTATCTAAGGCATTTCAGTTAATGTTACAGATTGAGCTGTTCCTTAATCTTCTAATTGGATCCGGCTTATATAATTTTTTGCAGACTGTTAGAACAATTTCATAAAAATTAAGCTTGAACTTTCAATTATGTCAAAAAGAGTTTCCAGTTCTGGAACTGCCAAAGGATCTACAAAGCGAAAGTATGTTTCGATGTCCATTAAAGTATGTTTCGAAGGCTCAAGTCGAATTGCTGCAAAAAATGGATAAAGGCCCATCTGTCTCAAAATTATGCGAGAAGTATGGCATTGGAAAGTCCACTATATATGATACAAGAAAAAGGAACTTTTTGAATTTTTTGTGGAAGCATCTTAAACAACTTACATTGAAAGAAATGTTTAATAAAGTAAACAAATAAATATTAAGCTTCTTTTTTTGTGAATTTTGATACCCTTTAGATCATAATTGTTCTTTATTTCATAAATTACGATTTCATATTTTTAATTGCATAATTTCTACATGCCATCTTACCAGATTTAAACTGATGATCTATAATCCGGAAAAACCCCTAATCCGGGATCACCGAAGTCCCGACGAGTCCAGATTACGGACTTTGTACTGTATATGGAAATTTGCTTAATCTTTTAACACAACTCCACATACTTGCTTTCTCATTTAACACAAAATCTATTCGAATATCTAAACATACTCTAAAAAGCTGCCAATACTTGCATTTTGCTTAAATTTTCTAATTAAAGGGATAGGCTGAATTTTGAACTGAACACTAAATTTTGTACCACTTAATTTGGCATTTACTTAAAAAACAAAGAAACAGATGGGGGGAGGGGGTATACCTTGGCATTTTGATACACTTCTTAAATTTATTACATTTTATCCTATCCAATTTGTATATTAGCGAGACATTCTATCTTTTTGAAAAAACATTTTTTTTATAAAAATTCCTGCATTCTGGAAGTTTAACTGGAACTAACTGGCTTTGTACTATATAAGGTGTAAGAACTTCAACTCATATTCAAGTATTAATTTGTAACTTAATAAATATTAACTAGCATGAGCAAACGAAAATGGCTTCTCTGGCTGATTTTGAGAAAATGAAATAAGAATGCTATATAAAAGACTAGAGCCATGTATTTAAAAAAAAAAAAAAAAAAAAAAAAAAAAAAAAAAAAAAAAAAGGATTTTTTCACCCTGTTCTGCAATAGAAACAATCTGATGTGGACACCACATGACTTTCTCATATGAAATATTAAATTATACACATTTTTTGCTGCATTTCATTTAAATGCATTTCCTCAAATTTAATTAAAAGATAGATTTTTCATTTAATTAATTCAGTTCTCTCTTTACGGCAAGGCAAAAATACATAAAGCCTCAAAATATCTCCATTAAAAATTGAAAAATATAGAAAAAAGTAAAATACCAAATATAGTTAAAGCAATTAAAAAACCAATTTTTACAATTAAATTTACATTTTCTAAGCAAAAACAAGCAACTCAGCCAGTAAGCAAGAAGCCAGATTTTTCAGTGCCCGAAATTGAAAGTTTACTTTTGGTCCCACTCAGCAAAAAGACACTGAAGGTGCAGAAACTGACTTAATACAGTATTCTGCTAAGTTTCAAATGTAAACAAATGTGGCTGCTGTGGTAAAAGAAATAGGCTTAGCCGAGCTTAAACAAACACTTTTAAATTGTTCATAATTCTACAACTATTGCATGCAGGTTAACTAAAGGCATAAAAATCTTAACCAGAAGATAAGAACAACATAATTCAATCATTTTTAAAACAAAAAATGCACACTTTAACCTACATATAAGAATAAAAATAAATAAATAAATAAATTTAAAAAAACCGAGCTCACCAAGCCGAGTAACAGAGTGGGTGTATATATATATATTTATATACTTATAGTGTGGTCGATTGCAACCAAAAAGAGTGGTACACAGTTGCATGTTATAGCAGTCCTATATATAAAATTTCAATGTTCTGGGGCTGCTCATTTTTGAGTTATGCGAGATACATACATACGTATGCACATGCGTTATGAAAAAAATCTCTTCTGAATCCAATTTAAATCAATTTTATAACCCATTTTGGAAAAACCAGTTCTTTATTCTGTCCTTATGTACAGATGTCACACAAAAATATCATTAAATTGCATCCGATAATGGTCAAAATGGATATTTTCGTTGAAATATGATACCCGGAATTTTTCGCGATTACAATATTTTCTTTACTTCGCCCAAGGAAGTGAAAATTAATCCATAGACGAAAAGTATTTAGATATTTTAAGACAAGGCCATCTATTAATTCTTAGGTTTTATAGTGTTATAGCATTTTACATCATTTCATCAGTTTCTCAAACATAACAATAAATTTATCAAAACAAGGCTCCCATATGGTGGGATCAAAGAGCCAATGCTTATATAGTTCACAATCAAAATGGGACTATTTTTAGATTTACTTGAAATTTTCTCAAGCTGAGTTTTTTTATAAAATATATGATGTATATTATGTATTTTTCAGAATATTTTAAAATTGGTAATGATAAATGATAGAAATGGTGACAGAAAATTGGTGCAAAAGTGGAAATATATGCGAAAAATCCAAAGAAACGAATGACAAGAATAATTTTTATAAAAACTAAGAATTATTGTTAAGAAAAAATATTGTCAAGAACCAATTTTCCACAGTTACATCAGAAGTTTTAAAAAAAATTAAGTATTTTTGTATTAAATTTACATCAAAGTACATTAAAAATACAAACTGGATAATTTAAACCTAATTATCTAGAATATTTTTTCAGTCTTATGAAGATGCAAGGAGAAAACTGACACATAAGAACATTAGTATATTTTCACGCATGTTAACTAAAAAATGATTATTGCAGAAAAGTCTTAGCGTAGCTTCTTAAAAGGTTATGAATTATGTGAATGAATGCACTTTTAAAAAAGCATACTTACAGGTCATCCGGGCAATTTTTTGGTTGATCTAACCTGTAACCATCTCTCAAATATAAATGCATTTCAAAAGGATCTATTTCCACATATGGCTGCTGGCCTAAGGTTATCAGTTCCCACATTGTTACTCCAAATGCCCACTGAAATTTTTAGAAAATAATTATTATCATTTTCACCAATGTCTCTGTTAGTTTTTACTTAATCAAAATTCTACAACTGATTTTAATGACAAAACTAATTAATTGTTTTATCACTTTTTATTTATCTTAAAAGCATTCAGCAAGAATCATTTCTGTTGTGAAGAAATATTCCATAAGTTCCAAATCATTTTTTTTAAAGTTTTCCTTTTTGGTTACTCAAAATAAACAAAAAATAATATTGAAAATGCCCCTAGTATCAAAAAAACAAATGATCAAATCCAACCACATTTATATGGACAACATAAAAATTATACTAAAAATAGAGACTGAATTCATTAAAAATTTCAATTAAATGCTATGTGTGAAGGTAAGATATTTTCTATTTCCTATCTTCACACATAGCATTTGATTGAAATCGACTATCTCCAATTGAAAGTCACCATAATCATTCAACAAATCACAATTTCAATATCCAATTGAAATTCACAATATATATATATTTGTAATAATAAAATTCCATAGTCAAGAATACACTCAAAATTCTAACTGTATGTTCTTTTCATTTTTTAATGGCGACGGTCTCTTATTTGAAAGTACGTGGAATTAAATCCACATCCCCGTAGTCAAGTTGTTTTTCCAGCTTTTTCTACACGTACAGTTATAGAATGTTCTGGAAATATTTAAAGCGAACTGGATTGGCTGGCGAGGCTGACGTCATTTTTTTTAAGCTCCGCCTTTCCAAAGGCTATAAAAGGACTCGCAAAGGAATATCGGGATCTTTTTTTTAATGTAACGATGCAGTAAACTTCATACAAAAAGTTATTAGTAGTTCTTTTTTATTTATCTCCTGAATAATAATAAATGGATCCTGTTTTTTAAACTTATCGTCTGATAATTTAAGCTACGATTACATCTATGATTCTTCACCAATCTAATTTATTCCGGACAAAAGCTGATACATCATATATATATATATATATATGTTGTATGATCTTAAATTCATTTAGTGCGAAAACAAGTTACTACTACTTGCGCAATTGCTGCAAAGTAAGTTAATAATAATTTATTTACTAAATAATATTGATTAATTGATTTATATTATCTCCTAAGTTTAATTATAGTTTAATTATAATAGATTATCTTAAAAGAGTGAATCCATACTAGTAAGTTATATTTTGAAAGATGTTTTGAAGTAACTTGAAAGTAAAATGTTTTAACGGGGACTGGAATTAAATCATGAATAACAAAATTTCAATTGAAAAAAAAAAAAAAAAATTAAAGGCAAGAATTAAATTAAATGCATGTAATCATTGTCATTGAGTCATTGATCGGAAACTAAATTCACTCATCAAATAATTTATCCCATAGTGTAACAATGCAATGGACAAAGCACTTTATTATGAAATAGCAGAGTTTCATATTATTTATAATGGTATTTTAGAATGGTTTAAAGAAGTATTCCATTAAAGAAAGTACAGATTTTCTTTTGCACTAAAAGGAAAGTGAAGTATTACTTTTGGTATTGACAAAAAGTTGATTCTTTCTTTGGTACAGGACTGGATTCAGAAATGTATGTATGCATGCATGTATGTGTTCATGCATGCTTATACTACATATGTACATATGTATGCATGTGTGTATACATACATGCATACACACCATTTCTGAATCTGGTCCTGATAACAAAACAGTACCCTTTCTATTTAATTGACAATAACATGTTTCCTAGAGTGTGCCATATGCATTTGATTAGATTAATGTCTAGAAACAGAGTAGTCATCCCACGGCAGAATGACATTGCTTTATTATTCAATTTAGGAGGAAGAGGGATGCCATATTATGAATGTTTTATTTATTGAAAGTTTTAAAGAAATTTATAAAAATTCCAGAACATTATCTTTCTGCTTTTGATCACTGGGATTTTGTTTATCAACATTAAAAGGTGTAGTCTGTGTACCTGCTTAAGTATGCCATCATTCGATGCTAGATATCTTTGATGCAGCATTCATTTTGCAGTATAGCGTGGGGATATAAAAAGTATGTCATTCTTCCCATATCAAATTATGCTGGAAAATGCTCCGTAGTCAATACTTTGATCTTATCTTGATTAAGTCTCTAATGCTTCACATTTAGCAAAAAAATATGAGATCTTAAATTCTGAACAACACCTCTAGGAAGGGAGAATGACCAGTTACATACAGATTTCTTGATATATACAGAAGAAATAAAATTATATTTCATGGCAATGTGAAATCTTAAATTTTGAATGGTACATCTAAGTAGGGAATATGAGCAGTTACATAAAGCTTTCTCAGTGTGTATGGAAGGAGTAATAATACATTTCGTGGAAGTAAAGTTTTTCCAAATAAAGTATTCACTCTTTGTGTAATTGATCTTTCTACCTCCTTAGAGACAATTTAAGATCTTGTATTGCTTGTAACATGAACTCTCTAACCTCTGCCTGCAACTCTTCAAACTTTGCCACACTTTTAAATACCCTTCAAAATTCTAGTTTTGATATCAATGCATTGGGGAGTTACACTATACTGTGTTAAATAAAGGAAATTCATATCTTTGCTTTCTAAAAATTGTCCATCAAATTTGTTACCCAATAATTACCTCCAGCTTTCAAATATTTTGAGTATTTCAGATACTGAGCTGGCTTCTAAAGATAAGGTTGTTCTTAGTATCAATGCAAATTTTTCTGAATTTCAATTCTTGAAGAAATTTTCACTTATTTTCATTTTAACTACTGCTGAGCATAGCTTAAAATTTAGTAAAATTAGTAACTTAGAGAAAGAAGCCCTGAAGCATAACATTTGTCAAATCACAATGCCAAAATGGTATTGAAATATAATTTATCCATAGAAGAACATGCAGTTTCCAAATACCTGAAAATTAATAAAAATCTTGCAGCTATTAAAACTGACAAGGATAGACAGGTTGTCTTCTTGAACAAAGAACTGTATAAAAATGCTGTCTGCTTCTTGAAAAATATTTTGAACAAAGAATAAAAGAACAAATATGTCTGCCTGCAAATTTGCTTGAAGGTTTTCACAAAATTCCAAAAAGATTTATCCAATCATTATATGTCCAAAATTAAACAGATAATCACTTTATGTATTCTGTTAAATAATTGCTAAGAAAAAAATAATTATTCTGCTTTCGAACTGCATACTTTAATATGCTTTCACACTACTTCTGACATTGCTAAAGCAATCTATCATTCGGTGAAACATCTTGTCAACAGATTTTCAATTCTCCTCATTCTAAAGACAAATACTGTTATAAAGAAAGATAAATACTGTTAAAAATTTCCTAAGATTTCATGACTAAACTTCACTCTCAATCTCCTAATAGTTCCATCATAGTTTCTTCCAATGTTAAATCACTGTTTTGAAATATTCCTGAATCGAATCGGAAGTGCTTGAGAAAGGGGCTTTATGAATTTGACTTCACTGACTGTGAAATTCAAGCATTAATAAAATTTATGAAGCTATGTGTCAAACAAATGAGTCTCATTTTGGTTGGGATTAGGGGCGTGATTTAACCAAATAACAGAAGGCTTTGCCATGGGTAGGCCACTCTCTTTCATTCTCTTGACATTTACTTGTACTGTCGTGAGAAGAATATTACAAATGCTTAATTTGCTTGTTAATGATATGTTTGTTCTATGGGACATACAGATGGAAGACAAAATAATGCGAACACCTGTGAAAAAGTATGACGTATTTCACACCTGGCAGTACAGCCACGCCACCTGCAACAGAAGTCTGCCACCTAGTTAAGCATCAAGAGTAAGGTATCAGTCTGTCAACAGCAGTCACCTACATTGCATGCTTCGATTGAACTGTCTGTGAGAAGTTGAATGTCAGACCTGTCAGAGTTCCAAAAAGGAATGATAGTTGGAGCGTAATTAAGTGGAGTATCGGTTACGGAAACAGCAAACCTTGTGGGGTGTGCAAGGAGTACGGTATCAGCCGCTATGACAGTGCACACGAAAGAGGGTAAGACGACGTCTTCAAAGCGCAACAGTGGATGAAAGTCAAAGCTGGCTTATAGGAATAGACGGGTCTTGAAGTGCATAGTACCCCGAAAGCACAAGCAATCGTTATCCGAGATAGCATATGAAATGAACAGTCATCTCCAGGACCCTATTTCAACAAAAACTGTCAAAAGGGAACTTCATGCTGCAAACATTTATGGCAGAGTGGCAATTCGTAAATCCTTGATGAGAGCAACTAATGCTTTCAAGCGATGCCAAATGAGCAGAGATCAAAGGCTGGTCCCCACAGCAGTGGCAACAAGTAATATGGTCAGATGAATCATCATTCACCCCATTTCAGACGACTGGACGCGTTTATGTCTGGAGAACGCCAAAGAAGCGTTTCATTCTGACTGCCTCTTGTCTACTGTGAAGTATGGGGGTGGCGCCATTATGGTATGGCTTGCGATATCTTGGCGCGGTCTTGGGCCACTTGTTATTCTGCATGGGAGGATCACATCCAATCAATATCTAAGCATTCTAGGGGATCATGTCCATCCTTTTGTCCAGACTGTATTCCCTGGGAAAAGACCACTTTTTCAAGACGACAACGCCCCCATCCACACTGCTAGGTGTATTCAAGAAAGGTTAGAAGAGCATGACGATGCAATTGAAGATCTTGCTTGGCTTCCTCAGTCTCCGGATTTGAATATTATTGAATATTTATGGACATATTTGGAGTCCAAACTTCGTTCCCGATTTCCACCTTCATCCGGACTTTCAGAATTAGAGACCGCCCTGCAGGAGGACTGGCTTAATATTCCTTTAAATATTGTTCATGACTTTTATGCATCTATCCCCACGTAGCATTCAATCTGTACTTCAGTCAAAGGGTGGTCCAACCCCCTATTAATAAAGAACTTCCATTATTTCACAAGTGTTCATATTATTTTGTCCTTCATCTGTATATACTGTAAGGATCTTAAGTTTTACTAACGTTTATTTTATTTTAAAT